TAAAGCGTTATCTTTCCTGTGCTCTCTGTCCCAGTGCCACGGTCAGCTGCGGAAACAAGTGGCTCAGACAAAAGGCACCTGCAGAAATACTGTTTCAAAGGGACAAGCCCCAGATGTTTCCAACAACAGTCTCCCACCTTTTCAGCTCTAGAATTTTGTCTGTTTAAAGAAATGAGTTCATTGGTAGCACACATTTCTGCATTGGATGACTGCTGTTTGTTGATTGTTTTCTGGTCGTACCACGTGAGGATTAAGGCATGGTTTAAATACAGAATTCTCTCATCCTGGAAACACGAATGTCTGCTGCAAGAGTGCTAACCAGGGAAGAGTGGCGAAGAGTGGAGAGGGAAGGTTGCAATAGAGGAAAAGCTCAGGGCTGGAAGGTATCCAGCAACCACAGATACTCAGCACAGTCCTGAGGGCAGGTGCTCAGAAAGTGAGGGCTCATACAACCTACTGAGCTTTGTACTGCTCATTTACTTACTTCTTAAAGTTGAGATAAGGCATAAAGAAATATATTTAGAAAAATATTCATGGTTATTTTTTTTTTTCTAACAGCAGGTCTTAACATAGAAGCTATAATTTAAAAGATACTCAAAAAAGCTTTGTGAGATTAAACACGGAGTAACCTAGCAAAGAAACACTAGCTATAAGAGCTATGGTAGCACCCTGTCATTTAACTTTGATATATTATCAGTTCTGCAGTGGCCTTCCTTCCCCCACCACTCATTCTCCTGCAACGCACTGGTAACACTCTACTAGTTTAGGTTTCAGCGCAGCGCAGAATGTTTGATTTTGTGTGCTTATTTACTTGTTTACTTGTTTACTCTCCACCTTTTCATTACCATTCAAGCCTCCACTAGAAGATCAGTTTTATAAAGGCCCGCGGCCTTATCTTTTCCATGCCAAGTATATTCTACTTGCTTCCTACATTGCCATTTTCAATAATGAAAGAGGATGCCATTAGATGCTAGGATAACAGGCAATAACATTTTAAACTGTGTTTGAATGAAAAAAAGGAATAACTAAATACATATGCATTTAGATTGCTGGAAGGCTTGTCACATAGCAGGATTATGGAATGCTTTTAAAGCCTAAAAAAACTTAAAACTCTCTGATCTTAAATTCAGAGAATCAAGACATCAAGAGGTTAACAAAAGTTTTCCAAAAGTTACTCCATTTGTACCTCAAACACTATCCATAGGTGATCTATAATTTGTCTTATATTTATAGGGCAATGGACATTACTTAGATGATTCCCAAGCCTTTCTGGAGCTTGATTTCTCCTAGCAGTTAACAGGCCTCCTTTAGTCCCTCGGTGTCTCAGTTCACAGAGGTCTTTCCTTACAAGGCTCGTCTTTATTCATTATCCTAGGACTTGTAAAAGCTACATTTATGCTCTGACTACAATTGTCTAGCCTTTTCCAACAAAGGGATTCATATTTGGAAGGGGTTTTGTTTGTTTCTAATACACAAACAGGGTCTGAGGGGTCCACAAGACTAACAGACCAGCTTTAAAATTAAAATGATATTTTGGTACTAAGCATATGATTCGGAGTTTTATTTGTAAAGGTGGTATGTTAGAATCACATAACAATCTTTCATGTTTCAGTAACTTGGTACAGCACCAGAATTAATGTTTTCATGTAAAAATAGTAATATATAGATTTTCTCTCTCCTTGCACTGGATTCGTGGTTGGGTGATGGGGACTAAGAACTTATAGATTTAGGTAGAGAAAGGGGAAACCAACCACTAGCAGGGTTCTGGCTGCCTTTGGGCTCACAGTTCTGCACACTGCCTCTTTCCCTTTGGGCTCTCTCTTTATTGGTCCAGAATTGCCTGGGTAAGGACAACTGCTAACTGAAATTCTTTGAATACAGCAAACGCCATGCTCCATCAGAACCGGGGAAATCTATTCATGAAAAATTCAAAGATAGGTGACGACCCTTCAGCATGATAGACAGTACAACTGATTCATGCATGGTGGGCATCAGAGGAGGAGATGATGCGGATGAGGGTTAAATGCTGTATGTGAGGGAAAGCACCACAGTGGGAAGAAGCCTGAAGCCCTCAAGGGTGTGACTGAAATACAGTGTACTGCAACAGACAAAGCTGGTAGGATAGTGGATCATGGTGGAGACAGAGAGCAACAACACCGGTAAGATCCTGCATGCATTGGGGGCTATGCTCACAGTACAGACTTCATCTATTCTCTCCATTTTTCTCGTAACCTTTACTGCTGGGGGAGTAACACAGCTTAGGAGTGGTGCTTGAGGAGTATAATGCTCGTGGCTGTGGGACAAGCAAGTGGATCACCTGTGCATTGAGGAGTAATCAAATGCTCTGATGACAGGCATCATGAATGTAACACCTCCCATTTGCATGTCATCAGTGAATTCATTACCACACACTTTTACCTACTTATTCACTATCTGTTCTCTATCACCTAGACATTAAACTATAGGAAATTAGGAAACTGCCTTTTCTTTATCCACTATAGCATCCCCCAAACACAGAACGATACCTGGCACTTATGTATTTGTTTATTGGGTAAATGAAAGGATAAATGACAGCTTAAACCAATAGGAAAAAAACTGATTGTATTTTCACTTTTAAAATGTCAGTCTGCAGCTTGGTGTATAGATCCTGAGTGGAGTAAAAGGATGAGATATGACAGTGGGTGGTGGGGGTGGCTGCATCATGAAAAAAATCTTTAAAAATCCTAGGAAGTCTTGTAATCCTCCCTACTCCTGGCAAGTAAAAAAAAGAGGTAGAAATCTATATGTATTAAATACCTAGAATGTGTCAGTTGCTTCATTAAGTATCTTCCTAAATTTCGTATCATTTAGTTCTCAAATCAAAAATAGTTACAGTGTTAGCTTTCTATCACTGTAACAAATAACTAAGGTAATCAGCTCTTACAGGCAGATGGCATATTTTGGTCAGTGGTGTTGGGTCACACTGGTCTGCCCATCTGCCTTGGCTTTGTCAGTGATACATGGTAGTAGAAGCGTGTGGTGGAGCAAAACCGCTCACCTCACAGATGGGAAGTTCATGAGAGAAAGTGCAGGGGCTGAGGTTCCAGCATCCTCTTCAAAGATAAGTCCCCAGGAACCTACAGACTCATCGCTAAGCTCACTTCTTTAAGATGCTACCACTCCCCAATAATATCACACTGGAGCCTAACCACTTAATACATGAACTTTTCATAGATTCTTAAGATGCAAAATACAGCACCCCTGACATAGGGATGATGTCCAGTTTATAAGTAAAGAAACTGAAACAAAGAAATCTTAAGTTATTTACTTAACAGCTACAATTTAAACCTAGATTTACTCAAGTATAAGGAAGATGCCTCATTAGAATCTGTACAATGCTACCTCTCCAGAAAAATGAGCAATTATAGACCACCCTTCAAATTTTGGTCATCTATGCTAGCACAAGCTATTTGATTTCTTGAGGCTCTTTCCTCTCAGTCAAGTATGAAATGACATATTATTACAGGGAGTTCTCATTCCCACATTTTCATTGTGGGGGATGCTGTTTATTTTAGTTTGTTTGTTTGTTGGTACCAGGAATCGAACTGGGGACCTCGTGCTTGCCAGGCAGGCGTGATTCCACTGAGCTATATTCCCGGCCCCGGGGATGCTATTTAAATAGTAGTTAAATTTTCCTTACTTATCTGTTTCTAATGCACATAGTGGCTATTTTCATCTCTGACTTCTCTGAGATCTTACAGGTGAGTTCATAGTAAGTCCCTGTTCCATGCTGCTTCCTGCCTAGTTCCTCACACAATTCCAAGTAAGACAGGGAATTATCAAGAACTCCAGCACATCTGTTTGCCAGGGAGTTAGAAATGAGCTCAGAATTCTGGTGCCAGTGTTCCAGTCTAGGGAATTCCAGGAAATTGCTTTAGAAAACCGTGCCTTTGCTAGGCAGTCAGGTCCAGATCTTTGCAATCTCTTCTCTCACCTGACTCCATGACTCCTTCAATTTGCGGTTCTTTCCTTGCCCTCACTTGCTTGGTGCCTAATCATATACAAAGATTTCTCTCTTGGTTTCAACTCCAAATTTCTGACATTTGCTTTGTAACCAACTGTAGCCTTTTCAAGACCACGGTTTCACCCTAAACCACTCTGAGGCAGTCTGTTATAATCTTACCGTGCTCCTTCCTACGACACGAGCATTGCTCTTACTTTAGCTGAGTAGCTAGAGTGCAGCCGCTCCTGCTTGCCTAGCTTCTGAGCATCAATCTATTCCTTTATCCCTTGTCACTGTTCATTACTTACATATTGCAGGCTTGAGACATTGTGGCAGTGATTGGTCTTAGTTCACAAAAGATTCGTACTCCTTTCCCCCCACATTGTTGCTGAGAAGTGGCTGGCTGCCAAAGACTACACTCACTCCCTGCCTGATCGCACTAAGTGGGGGTGTTAGCTAAATTTTGGCTCATAAAATATGTACGGATCAGATGTATGCTTCCACCCCAGCCCATAAGAATCCCCACAGAACCAACTGATGCTACTGCAGAGTAACTTGGTGATGTTGAAGTGGCAGAACCTCTGTCAGTTTGTGCCCTTACTAGACTTTCTAAGGTAGACATGATCCCTTCCTTTACGTGGGGGGCAAGTAAATCCCTATTATGTTACTCCATTATAATTTGGAGGGAGCACCGTTTGACACAGAAGAAAGCTTTACTAATATATATTTTCTCCAAACCCACTGAGGCTGATGTTTTTTCAACTGTGGAGCTGAGGATCTCCAGAATGAATACTGTCCAAGAACTGAGCAGCCTCTTTGAATTTGTCTTTGTTATCAGGTCTGCCTGTCCTTACTGGACTGATAGGAAGCCAGGTTCTGTCTCTGTTCTGCTCTGGATCAGCCTCATGTTGCCTTCAGCTGGCCACCATGATTAACCCATTTATCAAGTTAGCATATATTGAAAAATATTTAAAAACTAAACTATTTAGTAGGAGTAAACATCGGGAAACCCAAATACCTCCTTGGCCACAGGTCTGGGAACACGCTGTCCATGCCGTCCACCCCGAAAGCTGACAGTTGACCACACATTCTACCAGGCAGGGAATGCTCATTCTCTGGGGCTTCTCCAAATTGTGCTGCAAATGGAAATGAAGTGTGACTTCACTGGAGAAATCACATCACTGTCAAATCAAACTGCAATTCTTTCACAGGGAAGACTACTCTTTAATCTGAATAAATTACTTCCCACTTTTCACAGAGACAAAACAAATCCTATCTTAGATAAATACTTGTCCTTATTTCACAAATAAAATTTTTCTGGCCCAAACTCCCTTTTATGAAGCCCTAAATTTTAGAATAGACCTGCCATGGGGTGTTGGGAAAGTAGAATGTCGTGTGACACAGAGATCTGTCTTGTTGCTCAGCCAACAAGGATGACACAGGATGACATCTCAAGGATGACATACAGGAACCCTGTATGGGACAAAGGTACACACCGGGCTCAAAATTAACAGCCAGTGAGGTCAAAATGTAAGTAGGAATAAAAATAAAATCAACAACCCATCTGAAGTCCATAAAGAAGACCAACTGGACTGAAAATATAATCATGGTCCTAATTGTGGGACAAGTTGGTGATATACTTTATTTTCTTCGTGTTCTCTCTGAAATCAGCATCTAGCAACAACTATCTGCAGTTGTCTAATGGCCAAGGTAGAAGAGGTCTTAGTGACAGAATAAATCACTTAAGAGACAGAGGAATAATGATGAAATAATATGCTGTAAGAATCATACACTTTTTGTATATTTAATTAGGAAAACCTTAACATTCAACATGTGTTAAATAGTAGTAATACATCTCCATCTAGGTAAAATTAATTATTACAGTATAATGATTTGCCAAGTGAGTAAAATAGAAATTACTACAATGGGATCTGTGATTCATTTGTGAAATATGGATATTTTAGTTAGGCAAATAATCTGGGACTTTTACTTTTTTAAATTTTAATTTAAAGAGAGTAATATAACAACCACTGTTAATTCGTATTATTTTGTCTTGAAATTGTAATTTGGGACTCTTAAAATATTCCTTAAATATTTATGGGACATAAACTATTTAGAATGGAAACCTGACACCAATTTTCTATTAATAAATAGCTTTTCTCTTTCTTATTATTAAAAGATTTATCACATATACTAAATATTGGAATTGTAGATGACTAATTAACTTATTTTTTCTGTGGCAGGTACTTATTGGGAGACAGACTGAGAAAAATAAAATGATAAAACCAGTTACTGATACTTGGTGGAGGTCCTTGGGACCGCATTAGCCAATTTGGGAGTTGGCCAAGTAGGACAACCAGTTTTAGATTGTCTGTCCAGGGTTGGTAACCTGCTCAGTGGTTGTCCTATTATTTAGAGAGCATGTTGTGATCATACTTAAGGTGAAGTTACAAGAGGTGAAGAAGGCTTTGTTTTGTTTCAATTTCCACTTATATACTCCAACTATGTTTGGAGGAATGGAACCAATTTTCATTTTGCAGGTTTGTTACAAAGTCTCTGTGGCAACCTAAATTAACTGGCCTCCTATTTCCAATTTATTCCAGAGATTGTTTCAGTGATCCTGATAGTGTGATAGCATCTTTACGTCTATTAAACTTCCTCAATAGAAGTTTTCACTTATATGTTGGGAAGGAAATGCCAACTTCTTTAGAACAGGTCTGACTATAGCTTTTGTGCAAACTAAATATAACTTGTCACAGGGAAAAAAATGATACAACTAGAAAAATTCAAAATTCCTTAATTTGAAACTTGACAAGGAGTCTTTTATGTGGATGAGAAGAAAAGTACAATTATGCCATTATCCAGCAATCATTTACTAAGAAAATTAATGGAGTATTCCAACAGCAAGTGTCAGTGTCCATCTCACTGAAAGGACATTGCTTATAACATACATAAGTAACTCTTCTGCCTAAAATAAGGAGTCATAATACAGTAGTAAAATCATCCATGTCTACAGTTTGTTACCAAGTATAGTTTTCTCATCATTTTGACCAAATCCAAACTGCTGAGGTATCATGTACTATGACAGCTCCTCTTACATTAACTGAACCTAAACTGAGGAAAAAAATGAGTCTGGGATCTACATCATACACCATAGGACTATAGACCAATACTGAGAAATAGCCATGAATGTGAGATCCCAACATAAACTCATTACCTGCTCGCACTGGTCCATGCTGACTGGCTTGCCATCGCTGCGCACGCAGCTCAGCAGGCGGGTCCTGACCCCTTGACCGCAGGACGTGTTTTCACTCAGCTGGCATGTGCTCCACTCTAAGGCACAGGATCACCCATTGTGAGGTTCAAAACTACAGCCATGTGAGCAAAATACAATAAACCTTTGATTGTCTGCACTTGTGGAGATGTAGAGTCTGTAAATAATCCTAAAACCATTCCCAGGTGGCTTTGGAAAGCAGCATACAATTATTTTCTTGCAAAACAAATGAACAGATTTAAAAAAAAAAAATTAACTAAAAGGGAGTTATCTTTCTCAGTTTACTTTCCAGAGGCAAATGGACAAATTGTTTGTTAGAATTGTTTCACTTTGGCTTGAAAGAAAGACATCAATCAGGCTGGTGAAGGGAAACTAGTTTTGAATAATCCGTTAGAGATAATTGAGAGAGAAAACACTCAGAAACGATGCCAGTTGCTATAGCTTGAAGATTTCCTCTACCCTCACCCAATTCATGAACTGAAATCCTAACTGCCAACATAGTAATACTGGAGAGCAGGACATTTAGGGGTGATCAGGTATGGGGGGCACAAGGCTCCTAACTGGGATTAATGCCCTCACTGAAGAGATCATAGGAAGCTTGACTGACCCTTCCATGAAGTAAGAGAGCAAGAATGCATCGTCTATGAGGTGGTGACCCTCACCAGGTACCAATTCTGCCAGCACCATGATGTTGGACTTTCCAGCCTCCAGAACTGTGGAAAATAAATCTCTACTGTTTATAAACCCACTCAGTCTTTGGTGATTTGTTCCAGTAGCGTGAATAGACTAAACACCAGTCTTGAATATAAATTTGAAAATGCTCTCAAAGAATAAATTCAAGAGCTAACCAGTTTTTGTGTGTTTGATACACTGTAGCTAAGATTTCTTACCTGCACTAATTTTATTTCCAAAAAGTAAAGAGGAGTGCTTGCCTTGGCATTATAGATGCCAAAAGTAAAGTAGAAAAGACAAACAGAAATACTGAGTTTTTCATCATAAGAAAAGATCTCACAGATTTGGCTACTCACATTACAAAGTAGATATGGAGCTAGAATAAATGATCCTATAGTTAATTTGACTTAAAAACTACAATGGTTACCATGGGTAGAAAAGTAATATTTGGTCATATCAGTGAGAACCTCTTTAAAAAGATTTTCCATATTTGGTAAATGATTTTAGCATTTAATAGGAATAATAAGCACATGTATAGTAAAACCAATCTTAAGATATATGCTTTTCAAATAAAGCAAACATCATTGAATTTCTAAAAAATTACTATAAAAACCAAGGACTTAAAGATAAAGGACAAAGGTAACAGATCATCTTTCTCCTATAAGAGCCATCAGACAGCCAGCACAGAATTTACTTTCAGCTTTTCTGCACAAGTAATCTCAGCGGTGCCAATGTGGTCCCAGCAGAGGAAATTTTTTTTCAGAAAAGGAGATTCCTTTGCCACCGCAGGCATATGACAGTGTGGTCCTCAATATTGAATTCAAGGCTGAGATTTAACGTGGTTCCACATTTGTGACATTTTTGTGGGTTTACTCCTGCAGGGAATGGCAGGTAGCAGATCAATGTTACTATGACAGTTTTTTGGTTGTAGGTACTGAACACTCTGCTACCCAAGAAAAACCTAAGCAACGGCTGAATAACTAGGCTGATGTGATTCTGACTACCTCTCATGTATCTCTCACCAGTCTGCATTCTCATTCATTCCTTTTGAAATCAGTAGAGAAAGCATATCATAAACTTGAATTTCTGAAATAATAGAAGCCATGAAAAAACCAGACTCTATGACAGTATCATTGTGCTTTTCTCTAACTAGTAAATTATTTTTGCTAGTTATTTTTGTTACTTCAGTTTATAATGGTGCAATTAACATTATTCAGAAATACTGCCAAAACTTTCTAAGCATCCGTATTTCAGACTTTCCAGGTGGCCTTGTTTCATATACATGTCAAAAACTGGGCATTTCTTTCTGAAAAGGGATAATGGAATAGTAAGTCCTCACCCATTCTCCTTCCCATCCTGAAGCCTAAGAAGGAACACACAGACATTTCTTCCATTATCCTGTCTTCAGGTGGAAGACCAGGGTCATGGACTTCAACTGTACCTGTTAGATTATACTGGAACTGGAAGCAGTTTTCATTAAGAAGGCAGGGCCGTGCCTGTGAATCTTCCGCACAAGTCCTTGAGCTCAGGGAGGGCCGCAGCAGACAGCGAGTTCTTCTCTGCATTGTGTGGGGGTCACACGACTGCACAAACCACGGAGGATCCAGGGTTAGTTAACAAAATGTACAGAGTTATATGTATTCAAGTAGGCGCATATATAACAATGAAATGAAAGAGACTACGGCAAGTGTTACACATAGTTATTTTGAAAATAAAACCATTTTATGAGTCATTGGAAATGATATTCTGTCTCTCTTTTTTTTTGTTTGTTTGGGTTTTTTTTTGTTGTTTTTTTTCCGATTCCGGAAATCGAACTCACAATCTTGCGCTTGCGAGGCAGGCGCTGTGCCGCTGAGCTAAATCCCCAGGCCCGATATTGTTTTTTGTCTTTCACCTAAGAGCTCTTCTTTTTGTGTGATATCTTGAAAGCTACCTTTCTATTTCCCACATAGCTTCAGGAATATGGAAATTATTTTCATCAATTAAAAGCACTCTATACTGTAAAATAGTTTGCCACACGGTAAGAAATCAATACATATTGAGTGTTTAAATGAAGGAAAAAAGGAAAACATGTCCTGGTGACCTCGGATAGTCTAACCCAACAGAAATAATCACACAGAGCATTTTAATAAGAATGTTATTTTTTAAATCCCGGAATAAACAAAAATAGGGAAGGAATTATGAAATCAATACTGCCAGAAATACACAAGAAACTTCTTTTTATTTGTGAAGCTTGTTGATCCACAGGGCATGAGACATTGCCTACTATGGCTCTTTCAGCAAAATAATTGTATTAATGTGACCTACGAAGACCTCATGAAAATACCAAAATGCACATGGCTCCCACGTCCTCCTATAGCTGCACTTCATATAATCCTCTAGAGCCAGGAAAATTTGCTTTCCACATCTCAATGAGCTGCTCTACGTACAGTAGACTTTCTAGCTCCTTCTATTACAAAATTCTAAATGTCCTCTGAACTGTGCTTTACTTTCCTCAGAGCACTAATAAAGGCTCACTTCTTTCAAGGTGTTCTCTGTAATAATGTCATTTTTTTCTCTTCCTTTTGGAGCAAATTTCCACTCGTGTTCAGGGATTTCTCTAAACTCATGTATACTCAGTATAGATATTCTCTATATTACACATGTCCTTTAATGTCATTTTTCATTTCCTTGTGTACCCCACTCCTTTGCATTGCAACTTCGTTAGAGGATAATAGATTTGACTTCTACTTCTCTTGTCACTACCTGGAATATTGATATAAATTATATATAGCCAGTATTTAATAAGTAGCATTAAGTACATCCATAACAAGCAATTCTAAACCCTGCAAAATCTAAAGAGATTTTTACACATGAGAAATAAGTCTTCAAATTAAGATACCATCTATCTTTAATATGTTTTATTTTTCAAATTCCTTTTATTGTTTCATATATTCAGTAAGAATATAGCCTGTACACTGAATCTTGGCTATGAATTAAAGTGGTACTGTTATATTACATTGAAATGTGGAGATAAAATACCAGCAATTTCCCTTCTAATCTTAAAGTTTGGGCCAATAAAGCACATTTGATCAAATGATGCCCACATCATTTGATATTTAAGTAACCCATCAGTAGTTGCAAATTTGCATTTAACTGTATCAAATTTTCTCTATATGGATAAGATGGACCACGCAATTGTTCTTAATTTTATGCACAAAAATCTCATGCCAAATTGTAATTATTTGATTAATCAATTAATTGATTATTTCTGTAATTATTAGCAATAATTACTATTTTAACAATTAACTTCAGTGTTCATTCTCAGGAGCAAGAATAAGAACAAGTCATTTGCCAGTAAATGAAAATGTAGCTATCTTGATGCAAACTTCTGATTAGTGTTCTACCGCATTAGCACTTATACGATGATCAATAAATGTCTGAATCAAGTCAGCACATGCAAGGACATATGCATGTATCTGCTTAGTCTATGCCATGAAATTAAAAAGAAAAATACACACACGCACATATATACACACACACACATCAAGTTTCAGATTGAGTATCCATTGTCCAAAAGTCTTGGGACCAGAAATGTTTCAGATTTAACAGATTTTCCAGATTTTTACAATATTTACATAATTTACACAGATTAAACAGATGGAAATTCTCTAATCTTAAATTGTAAACTCTGAAATGATCCAAAATTGGAAACCTGTGCTGTGTAAGAAATCCTCTTCTGAACTTATGTGAGAAAGTCGGATGATTATGAGGTGCAACTTGATGCAATTTAAGCATTTCTTCCCTCAGGTTTCAGTTTGTCTAAGTTTGCTGGAGATGGATTTCAAACATCCTCTTGGGCTTAAAGCAACATTCACATTATGTAATCTTTTATAATTACTACAGATTAATTTTCTGTGAGTTATTGGAAAGCGATACTGTGACTAACTCTTTACTAACCCTTGGTCCCCAGAAAGAACTGAAGAGGGAAGGGGGAGGGCAAGAGCGCATAAGCACGACACCACCTCGTTAGGTCCTATTTTCAACACTACACTTTATAAAAATTGTCCTTGGCCTGAGAACAAGTGATAGATTACTGTTCTTCCTTATTTATTTCTAATAGCTATTTATAGGAAGTCAAGTGGTACTGTTTCAACTTCTTTATTTCTGATACTTATTCATAGGAATTTCACAAAGTAGTGAGTTGACCATTGGTGTGCAGCTAAGTGCAAAGAGAAGGAAACTCGTATCTTGACGTTTTCTGTATTGAATCAAAACTCCTCAAGCACAAACCTGGATCTCCTCTTCTCTGGCATATTTCTATAAGGCATATTGTCAATTTCCCAAATTTAGAAGTGAGAAAACGATGTGTGGAGAACAAACCCAAAGCGAACTCTAGACTAGCTTTATTCTAAAGATCAAGGCTTAGAAGGTTTATTTTCTAGGGCAGGAGATGGACAATAAGAAGGAGTTAGTCTCTACTACATAAACCCCTTTGTGAGACTAGACTTTCTAACTTATTATTTTTGTAAACCAGGATTTATTTAAAGTTCAATCGTTCCCCAGCCCTTTTGTTCTCCCTAGACGTAAGGCCTCTTGTCTGACCTGAGTACCTGTACTCTTCCCTCAATATAAAACCAGATGTCATATTTGTGACACTCCACTGACTTCCTCCCATCCATAATAAATAGAAAGACCTCATCCAGTCAACGATCCTGCTGTATTTATACATGTGTTCATGTGCGAATTCCCTCCTGTGGGCTATTTGGAGAGTCCATGTCTTAACTTTCTTTTCCTCTGGCCCAATGTTTACAAGTAATAAATTTATGTTATATATAGGAGGTTTTCATTGTTCTTGGGCAATCAAACTGGACTTGTGTAAATTACCTGAAAATGTAGAATACCCCGGATCATGGTCACATTGGTTCAATATAAGGGTTTCTCAGAGTCTGCATAGTTGATGAAATATACTCTTTTCTGCAATTCATGTACATTTCTCATAACATTTAAATGGTATTTCCCAGAATACTAGAATAAATGGTGATATTAATAAAACCTACAAATAAATGAGTTGTAACTTGCCCATTTAAAAGATAACAGGTAATTTAATTAAATCTTTTACTTAAATCCAGATGTGTGGGTACAATCTGATATTTTTCTATCACCGTACTTTTGATTACTACAGTTTAAAAGCTGCAATAAATCCAGGTACTTGTAAATTTAAAGTCATTCTGTTAATTTTCTCTTTGGGGATGAGCACGACTCCAAGGCCCAGCATTACCAGCTTCTAGGGGGAATAGAAACCAACACTATTACTCTGTTCCAGCGCTTGTCTAATCATCAGAGATGTTCTCTTGCTCATTTGGCCAATTCATTGCCTTGTGTTTCTCCATACAGAACTTATAAGGGAAAAAGGAAACCTGCTCTATGAACTTTAGTTTCATATTTGGAAAAATGAGGGGACAATCGCACAAGAAAAATAGTGCAGAGCTCTCTAAGAGTGATTTTTAGTGAAATTAAGCCTTATTTCTCAATGGTTGACAAAGGGTAGGAAAGAACTGGGTCTAATGGATTTTAAAACAGCGCCACATACATTTGTTTGTTTTTTTAAAATATCTTAGTGATCCGGCGGAGAGGGATACAGATGTGAGAAGTTCTTTGCACATCACAGTGGAGCAGTAAATCAAAGTCAAAATCAATAGACAAAACATTCAGTGAAATTAAGTGAGACATCATCACCATAAACACCAAACTATGAACAGGTGGGGAGCAGGGACTGAAGCGACAGGATCCAGGTGATATCAGCATCTGGCAGGAGAAAGCAGAAGCTAAGAATGGACATCTGACAGATTGAAGTGAAAAATTAAAGTGGCAACTTGGAGGATTTTGCACAAAGAGAATATACAGAGCCCAGGGAACAGCCTTAGGAGTCTGCGCACCCAGATTCAATCAACTCAACATTGTCAGGTCAAAGCTCCCTTCTAGGACAATCCACCCACCTTCCTCATATCTCTACCAGAACCTATAGTTCTGAACTTTAAATGGAAACATCATAGTCTTTATATTTTATTTTCAAAATAAAAGAAATAGTAATAAATATCTCAGAGCTCTTCTTCCTGAAGTGGCCTAGAAAGAGTGACACCCAATAAGGTGAGCATCCTTAGATGTCCAGAACTCTTGTTGTACCACTGAAGAGATATTTCCACTGGAAAAAAACAAGAATTTTTATAGAATTATCTTTTTGTACTGGGAATTGAACTCAAGACCTTACATTTGCCAGGCAGGCACCTGTACCGCTGAGCTGTACCCTCGCCCCAGGAATTTTTAGAAAACTAGCTGACTCCAAGCCTGACAAATGAAATGTCTAACATGGGCATAAAACATTCTACTTTGTCATATAACAAGGATGCTAACAAAGACCACCACGTATTTCCTTAAATATTATGGGACACATTTTAAAATACTACCACTAGGACAATTGTGTGTTATTATAGCTGATAAGTGAAAAGAATAAAACATTCAGTTTTTCTGAAGCTGACTTTATAATGATTTTTAAAAGGTACATGTGGTGAAAGCTTCTAAGAAAACTTATTTTAAGTCTAGT